GGTGTAATAAACTAGTAAATAATGAAATCTAGATAGACATTTAAATTTCTATTACAGTATCAAACAATACTTGCTCTTTCTTAAAACTACTGCATGAAGACTAACCTGTTAGTTTGTCCACATAGTTGGAAGACCAAATCTTTGGCACATCCTGAGGGCATCTCATCTATCCACTGGGGAAGACGTTGGTGGCTGGTAACTGCAGTCATTATGTTCAAGTGATAACAACTAACCAGGGTGAGATGAAACTTTAAAACAAATCACTAATTAGACTAAAACTTGTGGTGAGGTATTTGACATAACAACAATAAAATCTTGTGTATCCATCATAGAGACGTGTTAAACTTCAAGTTTATGGCAAATGTCACACTGCAGAGATGACCATATTATATGCTAAACCATCAAATAAGGTGTATGTATACATAAATAATCTTACTTGGTTTGCAATATTCTGTGTTCCATGAAAGTAATTGCCAATGTCACCATTCCAGTCTTCAAATACAAAAAGGAACTGCTCCAAAGGGGACCATGGTCATACACAGACTTTTTAAGTGAAGAAGCATGTGATGATTCATTAGCACATATCTTGGCCCTAAATAGATAAGATGCAAGTTTTAAAAATGACAGTGTATAAAACAAACAACCCAGCAACTTAGTCCAGTGAGGGATGGGTAGACATATATGAATAATGCATAAGCACTTGCTGTAATGGTCTTGAGGTTTGTTAGTCACTGTTAAAAAAAAAGGCATTCACAAAAGATGTCTTCATACACACCATAATATGCATCATGCATCTCAACAAAGTGCATCAAGAGCTTCCCAGCCATTTCTAACTGTTCAGGTGATATGGATCTTCCTGACAAGAAGATGATGCCACCAACCAACAGGGCATAATGCTGGTGATACTTCTCATCAAGTATACCCTTCATGCATGGGAGAGAGTAGTACAATAGCCAGTTGCGGTACTCTGTTGCTGCAATAATATAGAATCTGGTATTTTATTTATTCCTTTATGAATGGAAGTATAAAATCTAAACTTTTTCTGTACTTTCATGAATGGTTGTCATGATCCATACAACTGTATGCCCATCCAAAAATAAGAGACTTGGGAGTTTGAATGGAGTTCTTAGCACAAAGATTGAAAATATGAATTGAAAATGAAAATCTCTAAGAATGACTGACTTATTTCAATTTTAATACCTTTCCAAAATTTCAGATGGTGTTGTATACTTCTAGGAATTCTGGTGATCACACTCGGTGGTTTAATTTCCAGAAGGCGTTTGTCCACTTTCTCAACACTGTTTCCACAATACCATCTCTGACCACTGTGTTTTGGATTGAACCATAGACCAACAAGCTGCTTAACCACTCCTAGATAAACACAATGCATAGCATCTATACCAACACCACTGACAATGTCAAAACTTGGCAGCTGAAGCAAAGGGCTTGGTGCCTTGAAACCACAGACCTAAAAATTAAATGTCTAACATGAGGATTAAGCATCTCGAGTAATTTCTTAAAAACCATTTTGTAACAAAAACAGCCACTGAATAATATCACCAAATTGGGAACCATTCTCTCAAACAAAAGGTATCCTATCAGTGATTACAACTTCAAACTGGCGTGAACATTTCTCAGTTAAACCTCTTAAGGAAATCAGTCTCTTGCCACTTACAAAATAATGTTTGTTACTACCTGTTAGTAGCAAGTTACTTACAGTTTTATTTCTCTCAAGGGCATCATACGAGTTACTCTCCACTTCTTCAGTAGTTCGTAATTTAGCATGCCCAGATACAGAGTTGCGGAATGGAAAGGTCATAACATGGCCCCTTGGACCAGTCTTGATAACTTCTCCATGCTCAGTGCAGTAGCTGCAGCAATCGTGGCCAGTGTGTGTGACTTGTTCTAGAACACCAGCTCGACCAGGAAGGTCAAAATGCCCAGACAGTACCGTGACCTGTGATTTTGTCTTCACTTTATCTGGAAGGGTGACATCCATTCCTATATGGGTGAAAACCCATATAAGTAAGAAATCATGGCTTTCGTGTTGATAAACAGAAATTTTACCTAAACTTCATTTTCACGTCATATTGAAAGAATCCATGGGGTCCCACTCTAGAGCCAATGCAAAGTTCAGAGAAACAGTAGTATAAGAGATGTAACCTTATAACATTGCAATACAAACACAGGTGTCCTCAACAGATTGCCCACATTGTCAAGTTTTTCAAAACAGTGATAAGGGAAATATATTATCTCTTCTTGACATTGCTACTGTACACTTCCCTGACGGGCAACTGAAGTTTTTGAGGAATTCAAATTACATAAAAACTGTGTAATCAATCCTGCTTATCAAAAAGTTTTTGGGGCTAGTTGAAATGAATTCTGGGCTAGTACATGCCAGCTACAGCTTGCCCAAATGGCAAGCTGTAAAACTGACTTTCTTTGCACCCTTGTACATCACGGTAAATGCTAAGAAAACCCCTATGACGCAAATGGTCTAAAGCTTCTTACCATCAATTTCTATTTTCTTGAAAGTGTCAACAAATGGCTTAAAGAAGGTTGAGAAGAACGGCTTATCTTCGCCAAACCAAAGGCCACCAAATACTCTATACTTATTATTTCTCCTATGAAGAGAAAAGATGTGTTTAGTTGCAGTACACATCATACACAAACAAAACCAGTAAATTAGAGATTATTATTTTAACACCTTCTTAAGAGGCAAGTGATAAGGTAATTTTGCTATCTTTATAGTATATTGTAGTCACACTTTTAAGCAGATGCACTGTAACTGCATAAGATGTTCACTCCTGAATACATACCTTAATGATGGAGGAAGCTCATTGACAAGTAGAAAGAGGGGCCAAACTCCAAACTGTGAAGAGTGGAAAATTGCCACACCATCAGTGTTAAGCTTTAAGGAGAGATTATACTGTTTGGAAAGGAATCCATCTGGCCCACACTTGCTCTTGTAAAGAGAGCCATCGTATACATCTTCAATGCTAAGCTCATCCCTCTTGACTCTCTCAAATCTGTGCCTAAGACCATGAACAAATTCAGGGTCTAGAGAAAGAAAGAAGAATGGATTAGTATGGAAACCTGGACATGTGTGAACAAATGTAGTCCAATAACAGGTAAGTTTTGGAAAAGAATAAAATTTATTTTTTGGCAATGTAAGAGTGACCAGGCAATACTGCATCAGATTGATGGAAGTAAATTATGTTTTGTCTATAATGTTGTATGGGTGACAATGCTTGGGAATAGTCTGACTGATTTATTGCCGGTGAACCTTGGCGAGGCAGCAGCCTATTCTTTGCACTAAGGATCGGATCCAAAATTTGTCCAATGTAAGATCAGAAGCATGCATGTTGCTGTTTATATCATACGGGGCTTTAATTATCGCATTACATAAGATTACAAAAGGAAAAGGAACTGACTGAGTTCTGAAATGTCATTATGGAGGTAAATATAAATTTGGCCGTTCTATTATAAAATGGCAGAAGTGATAATTCATCTAGCTCAAACTAGCACAACAAAAAGTTCATGTTCTTTGGCAGATGAACTGACATGCGATTGTTTTGAAATTAATCTTATTGAATGAGGTGAATCGCTTTACAACAGGTTATTCTGAAATATTACCGATATCAAGCCCTTTTTTTGCAAAAATATGCAATACTTTCTCTGTCTATTTGATATTTTCTCAATAATATTATTGCAGTATCATTTACCAGTGACCTTTATAATAGATGAACTGCATGAAAATGATTTACGAAAGACTGAATGAAAGACTGTTGCACTATGTATGAAACTTCCCAAAACATAATGAATAGCTAGTTAACTTTGTATTATTCACAAAATACGAAATACTTACCAGTGAAAAATTTTTGTAGCTGCTTTTCCACAGGTACTTCGATGAAGAATCTACTAGCTTTAGAAATGCTACGACCACAAATGTTACAGTTTCCGGTGCCTTTGCCGAAGTAGGCTTTACAATAATCACAAAAGTAGTGCTTTTCAATGTCACCCTTCGCTTGACTTACGAATTCCAAAAGTTTTTTCACAGACGTTTTGCAGTTGTTGGGCCGCGGACAGTGTGCTTCAATTACTGACAGCAGATCATTAAATGCTTCACGTGTAAGCTTATGCTTCATTACAAACGTTAACAACAGAACAACACTAGTGCTGCTTGTGAGTGGAGCGCCTGGATAAAGGATATTATCATCAGATTCTGACTCGCAGTTTTCAGATGGCAATTCAAGGTCCTCCTGGTCTTCGTAGTCGCTTACAGAATGCAAGCTAGCGTCGTCATCTTCCCTGAGAAAACGCTCGTACGAAGTGCTCGTAGTCGTCAACTGTTCGTCATCACTGGCCTCCAAATCAAGCATCCTATCTAATCCCAAATCTCTTGTTTTCAAGATCTCGTGCATTTGCTCATCGCTTGACAATGCTGCTTTTTCTACTGCGGTTTCTTCAGAACTAAAAACATCCCATTGATCAAGAGTGGATTCATCACATGCACACATCACCTCGAATTCCCGACAGTCGATCTCCGGCTCTTTGTCGTTTACACCGCTCTGATGTGCTGCTGAACAAGAATCAGCTTTCTGGCGGTTAAGCCTTCGATTTTTTCTTCGTGCTGCTTCGAATTTGTACGGGTTATGATGACGCAAATATTCTTTGTATCGCCCTCTTCGATACCGTCCACGATCGTCCGCCATGTTTGGAGAAATGAGTGTTACTCGTTCCCAGGGTTTGAGTGTTGCAAAGCACAATGCATAATGACGTCAGAGTCAATACGTTATATGGCACGTCATGTGACATTATGCAGCCAATAATGTAACAGCAGAAAAGAGCGTCGCTTTTGATTTCGATTAAAGTTCCAACGTGGAATACCAACGTGGTGCATTCGAGCGTGTTTTGGATTTGTAGCTTTCTTTCGGTTGGAGAAATTTGTGTTACGCTTTTCGCCTTTTAGAATTTAAAAGTACTCAAGACAATAAGAAATGGCTGGAAGGAATTCAAGAAAAAGAACAACGCCGGCTCGCTTAAGGGAAGGTAAGTTCAAAGTGCGAAAGTTGAGGACGCGATCGCGGATCGATATGTACTATAATCAAAAGTATGTTTAATAGACTTGATTTCTCCTTGCTGTTAAAGTCTGCTTTTCCTACAATCATGGTGGACAATGCGAACAATGCCTGTATATTAAGGCTAATGTAGATCTATTCTAACAACAGAAAACACTACCTGTAAGCTAGCTTATACAGCGTCCATTGTATGACAACAATAAGTCTATATGGCTTTCTTACAGTCGTAAAAAGAACTAAAGGAACAATGCAGATTTACTGAAAATAATAAAGATTATTCCTAGTTCATGTCTAAGGGTCGTTGATTCAAGTGCCTAAAACTAAAGCAACTTCTAAAACCTGAAAACTGGAATATTGCCCGTTACAAAAAAGACACGGGCATGCGATGATCACGTGACTAAATGGCGGGGAAACCATTATTTTAAGGTCCTTAGTTTTCAGGCACAAACTCATTAAAATTTTAAATATGTTTTTGCTTGTATAGTTGGAAGTAGGTTGTGAGTTGACTTCTCAGCTTTCTGAAGAGTAGTAGATGCTATTTTAACTTTTATGACACGAACTCCAAATTTCTTTTTTATTTCTTTAAGCCACTTTGTCATAATTTGATAACCTGAATAAAAATGCACAATAATACTTTGCCTTTTAGCCCTTGCATGTTACACGCTGAATAAATGCAAGCATGCCTGCTACATAGTGGTTGTTCTCAGGAACATAAAGCTATTAGTTTATCTTTTCTTTGCATCAGTTTAGGCAAAAGCACATAAATCTTTGAAGCTGTAATCTCACATTTTCCACTCTTTGCTTAAGAATTTTTTTTTACTAAGAATTGAAGCTTGTATGACTTAAAATTAATTTTACAGAGTTGTGGTACCTTGTAAAGTACGAGGATGATGACAACTTGAGGGTTTTAGGGCAAGATGACGTTCGTCACATCTGCCCTGATGACGAAGATGACTTCCAAGTTGGAGACATAATAAGCGCCATGTGGCTTCCCAATGGCCAATTCTATGATGCTCAAGTACTACAGACAGGAAGTAAGTTCCCTTTTTCTGCAATTATTGCTAAGTAAGGTACCTATAATCAAGCTCTTTATGTAAAAGAAATTTCTTGGGTCTCATTTCATCAATCACACATATTTAACAGCAGTCTGTGAAAATTACAATCCCACCACATCCCCTGAGAGAAAAAATTAAACAGTATGTTTCACCATCCAAGCGGCTAGTGTCACGTGACTCTCATGATGAAAATAAATTATGATTATTCAAATTCTACATAGTCAAATACTGTGTATGTTAAATATTACTGACAGTGAAATTTAGAAAACCCCAAACACCAGAAATAATTGTGGAACTGTCAGTTATCAGTAAAGGATCTGAAATTACGCTTAGGTACATAAAGTAGCGTTACCAGTCAGTTATCTACTGGCAACAAAATGCAAATGTTCATATTCATAAGTCTTAGAATAAGCAAATGTTAGTTTTACAATAATAATATTTCCCTCATTAAATCCTTTTTTTTGTAGCTGACAAGAATGAGCTTATGAAAGAGAGGATGAAGTTGGAGAAAGCTAAAAAAAATTGTGAAAAGATCACATCAGAAAAAGCACAAGAGCCAAAAGACCAACATAAAAGAAAGAACCAAAAGGATGGCACAGGGCAGAAAAAGAAGAGAAAGTCAGATGGTGAAACTCTGAATGATGGACATGAGGACCAGAAGGCGAAAGAGAGAAAAGAAAAGAAAAAGAAAAAAGAGGAGGAACAAACAAGGCAAAACTTGCTTCAGGAAGCTAGGAAAAAGCAAGCGGCTGAGAGATGGTCTTCCACTTCCCCAGATCAAAGTGCCAGCTTTGTACCAGTGCCAATTCATCGAGGAAATGGTTCTTCTACACAGCTGCCTTCTACATGTTCTTCAGCACCATCACATGCAGTTCAGCAAACAAACCAACTGTCAGCTCATCCACCCATGACAGCACAATACACAACACCAGCTCCATTTACAACACTTACTCAGCACACAACACCTACTCAACGCACAACACCCACTCAGCACACAACACCCGCTCAGCACACAACAGCAATTCAACACGCAACACTCGCTCAGCATGCAACACCCGCTCAGCACGCAACACCCGCTCAGCACACAACACCAGCTGAACGTACAACGCCAACTCCACGCACAACGCCAACTCCACGCACAACACCAACTCAATGCACAACACCAGGTCAATGCACAAATAAAACTCCAGCTGGAAGAAAGCAAGCAGTAACGTCAAGGCCAGGAATGAGTAAGCAATCAAAATCTACTGCTGATCCAAGAAGAGGCATTCATTTTCAAAGTGTGGATGTTGATAGCAGCGATGATGAAATAAGTGAGGAAGATGAGGATTGCAGTAGTCTGGCTTATGAAGGTGGCTCTAGTGGCAGTTGCTGCAAGGAGCAAAAATGGAAATTGAGGCCTTGCGAAAGCGACTAGAAAAAGTACACAGGAGGCTTAACATTGCACGTAAGTCAAGTTTCTGTATGAAAGTGCAAACTGTTGAACATAAGCAAAATTCTGGATCTTATATTGCAAAATGTGTGAGCAACTGGCTGTTAAAATGCATTATTATGTTGTATTATGAAGAAGGACCTCTACTGAATTTTGATCATGTATCTGTATCTTATTGATTAATTGAAGTAATTTTTTTATTGTCTTGCAGTGAAGGCAAAGACCGTAGAGGAAGTTATAAAGAACAGACCAGCTGCTGGTGTTCTTGACAGGGCACTTGCTGAAGAATACAAGGTAATTATCATGGCTTTTTTTTTTGTCTTGCATATAGTCTAGATGCAACCTTTTAATACATGAGAAGCAATGATTCTTTGTGACATGTTCCAACAGCTATTAATAAGGCCAAAAAGAGAGGTAGAAGTGAAATATGATTACATCAATGTTGGATTGTTTTTGTTTTACAGATGATAGAAGTAATGGAGGGAGCAGGTGTCTTCTGGTATTCACACCAGAGGGCATATTGCTCGGCATTTAAAAGCTGGACGGCCTATATCAATGCAGCGATTGATATGTTCTTCACCAAGGAGACCCTTGCTGCATCTTGTGCAATGGGGAACGAGAGAAAGAGTAAAAATGGAGCGGGCCATCAGCCTTTAAATCCTGTCATCACCCAGTCCCTTATTGGTAAGTTTCATTGTATTATATTATAAATTAAACAAGATACTGTGCCTGTGCTGATTGGTTAATTGAAGATATTTAATATAACTTTCTGGAAAGATATATCATTTTCTTAGCATATATTTTCCTTCCTAATTTCCATAATGTTTTAGAAACACTCATCAGAGTTTGGGGAAACTCAATCTTGAGTAAAGAGGAAACGTTTTTGTTGTGAAAAAGACATTAATTATTTCTCATGCTAGTTAACATGCAAGACTCATTCGGGGATGAAAGGTTTTGCACTAGGCATTGTTTTGGAAGCAAGGAAGTTTGGAACTTAAAAAATGCCTGTTGATAGTATATATTAATTTTCACTGGTAAAAGTGAATGATTTTTATTAATTTTGGTACCTTCTACACTAAAGCAATAAATGAATGGAAGTCGAATTGCTTCAAATTGTCCATTTTCACGCATTGTTTTTTTAAAATGTGGTGCGTAGTGGGCCAAAATACATCTGAAATCACTTGGCCTTTTAAAAAAATTGTGAACAGTGAAATTATCCCTTTTAAAAAGCAAATAATATCAATGACCTCTCTTTTTTAGGTAAAGTCTGCTCTAAATTCCCAAGAGATGGGCCAACACCCAGCCAAGTGGTGCAAAAAATAAACATGAAGTGTGTTGAGGCAAGAAGGCCACCGAGAAGTCGTGCCACACCAGTGGTCCAACAGTGACAGTTTATTTTTTAAATGTTCAGTTTATTTTTTAAATGTTCAAAGTTCTTTATATGCAAGTACCATTGATAAAAAGTCACTGACAGTGTTTTTAAGATATGGACAGAATTTTCTCAGATATTTTGTATCACCCCTTTTAACATTGTACCATTTTTATAAATTTTTAACAGTATTAGATAAGATCAGATTGTTTCTTAAGCTTTTCTTCATGATGCAATACCATTTTTAAACGTTATAATATTGTTGATATCAATTAATGTTCTACTAGCGATATTATTGTATGGTCACAAAAAGCTGTCTTTACAGTTTTTGAAATCTCCGAGAAATTGAGAGTTCAAAAGGTACAACATATGTAATATATTTCAGTAGCAAGTGTGAATTAAATAGTTTTAAGTGAATTAAAGATATGAAATGAATGTGAATCTGTGATCCTAATTGCTTTGTTCAAGAAAGAGGAAGTATAAGTGGTGAGAACGAACACCACACACTTGGATTTCAACTTTTCACCAAAGAAACACACTTAAATATTCATCATATGGCATTACTATGGAGCAAGAATCATGGGTATCCATATCATTCCCATATCAGGTCACCAGTCTGCCTGGATGATATGGGAATTGTATGGAAGTTTACAAAGTACATAGCATTCCCATATCAGACGGCAGTATGATTGATGATATGGGAATGGTATGGGGAGCTGCCAAGTACATATCATCTCCATAGTAGAGAGTCAGGAAACACACGGTATTGGTATGGGGCTGAGCCATGTCAGTCCCATACTATTTACTATGGGGAATGTATGGGGTGTTGCCAAATACGTAGCAATCCCATAGTGAAAAGCTATTGAACCATTCACTGATGAAGACTGTTAACACGTATGGGTTTGATATGGCATGTAGTAACCCATACAAATTCCATATATTACCCATAGCAGGGCCATAAGTCATGTCATACCATTTCCATACTTGGGCCATACATGGCCCATATCATTATGTTTGGTAAGGGTTGGGTGTTCAATCACACCAGGTTTCCACAGCCTTTCTTTTAGTTGCTCCCTACTGCACAGAAAGTTTCTAAGGAAATACAAGAGTATAGTACTGTGATGAGTGTCAATTTGATTGCAGTGGGTTTTCAGCGTTATTCTGCTCCCAACTTCATCCTTCTTTTCCTTACATTAGAAAAAATGCCCTAATATTTAATCACCAGTGTGCATGTGTTAAGTATATGTTGCCAAAAGTTTATTGCTGCGTGTCAGGCTTTACAAAAAAAGAGGCACAAAGCAGTTGAGATTGTGGTGGTGGTACCTAGATTGCAATACTGAATAAATTTTGAATCACTAACCTCACCACTTCAAAAAATTCTTGGGCGGATTTACCCCACTCAACGCTGGATCAACAAGAGCGATGGTGTTTGCTTCTATGTCAACCACCTGGGACAAAGGAAAGATGAAAATTTAAGTTACAGGAGTAATATAGCTTCAGAGATAGAGTTCTCCTTAAAAGAACGATTAGTTTATCAGCCAAATTAATAAATTTCATCATGGTAAAGTGCTTTACTATCTGCCACTGGGCACAGAATGTACTACAATAGCTTATACTCCTACTCAACCAACAGAATGGCATTGGCAAGTGGGAATGCTAAGAAAGAAAATCTTAATAAAATCCAAAACAAATGCATGAATTTGTTCATTGAAGGACCTCTAGACTTTATACTACTTACCCCTAACATCCAGTGATCTTGCCTTTCAAACATTCCTGGGAAGAGTAGTTTTTTGTACCGAGTTAAATTCACCTAATTTGAAACAAAAGGGCAAGAATGATTGACTTTGTCAAAATTGGTTCAGCTCAGCAAGTAAAAAGAAGTGGGAAAGATCACAACGTCTTATAACTATATCAACGATCAAAAACTCTCTCTATCCAAGTGAATTACATGCATGCAGCGGTTTTATTTTGGCCAGGAGGTTTTGATGTTAATTTTTCTTCTACATGTGAGAACTTGAAACAAAAACAGGGTTAAACACATCGTAAATTAAATGGGGTTCAGTGAACCTCTAATCACCTTTGAATGCCATATTCTTTGAGTGCTTTCGTAAAAACGTTGTGGTCCCCGCAATAACAGTTTTCCCTTTGCCCTGCAAACAAAACATATATTATTTGGTAGGGGGATGAAAAAATGAAAAAATGAAAATCTTGTTTAATTTCTATTACTTTCACATATATTAGGTCTCCCATCCTATACCAAGAGAATTTTCACTGTTGGTCACAATACAGTATGTTTAAAGTTTGACTTGGTAAGTTACCAGTAGAAGATAAAAACAAAGAAGCAAAATAAAAGTAGAAGGTGTAAAATACGCAAAAAAAATGATTTAGATGGAACGATTTTTGCTTAGGACTATCGTGCGCGACTAGCATACATGTACATTATGACTCCATGTCAGATTGTGTTGTGTAAATTAGCCCCAAGACGCCGATACGACATGTGCAGTGTTCTTCCTAAATTTTAGCTCAGCAGGTAAGGGACCATTCATGGCCGGTAAGGCAAAAAATATGCACCAGAGGTGCACTTTCCTGGGGCGGGGTGGGGAGGGGGGGGTTGAAGGAGTAGTAGAGTGAGGATGGCCCCTCGCTAGGAGGAGCTAAGTTCTTTGGAACGTAATTCATTTTAAAGTGTATATGACAGAAATTTTTTTATTTGCTTGATAGAATCTATACAGTGTTTTGATAAGGAAAGCAAAAAAAATTTTTCGATAGCGATTTTTCTTCCCCATGTTTTAACCTGCCAAAAACGTGAAATTTTACTTCCGGTGAGCTACAAAACCGCGCTAGCGAAAACAGAAGACTGGGAATGATTATGACGTCATTTCAGGACATTCTATTTCGCGGCAGGCAAATTACATGGTCATTTTCTTATTTGTGTGGCAGTGTTTGGAGAGTGTTTTTTGAGTTTCCCTGACCTTTTTTGATCAGAAACAGCAGAAATCAATAAAAAGTCGCTTAAGCTCGAATTTAATTGACTGTGAAAAAGAATAATGAGTTTTGAAAGCGATACGGAAAAGTCAGACGTGGAATCGATCGGGTCGCGCACTCACATCTGCGAGACAGAGCTAGGATCAGACGAAGACGAAGAAGATATGTACTATCCAGATCCAGAAGGACCGTATATAGATGAACCTATTACAGACGAGGAATGGCTAAACAGAATACAACCGAGAACTAGAAGAAATTTAAAGGAGAAACCAGGAGTTACAAAACCGCTTTGACAGGATTGTGGAACCGAGACTTGGTAAGTGTTTGCTCTATTTCTCACCTTTTAGTTATTAGCCTGAAAAATCTTATCGTACTAAGATCATACCTTGCCGATAAAAAGAAAAGGATAAAAGTTGTATTCTTCAACTTAAATACTACGTTCCTTCTTTTTAATTTCAAAGGTGCTCATGTGGCAATTGTGCTCTTGATCGGCTGCAAAATCCCGGGGAATGCCTCTGCTGCAAGGAAATCGAAAAGTGTGTAAAATCACTTGGTAGTACCGCCGTTCTGAATGAGGTGGAAATCAGTCCCGAATGTATTACATTGCATCCAGGTTTCAGTGTCGTTTGCCTTAACAGATGGTCTCTCCGATCAGCCGCAAGTAAATACAAAAGGATAGACGGTACAAAGTATCATCAGACTGATACAGAAGAAAAGTGAGTAATGTTTTGCCCAGTTTTTTCTGTCAGAGCTATCTCTAACTGCTAATTTACTGTGTTCTCCAAAAGCAACGTTAGCCGGCAAAAGCGTCCGACAGTTGCAACAGAAGCAGTGGTTATTTGTTCAAACGCCATTTTAAGAGAAAGATAATCAATCGATTGTTTTTGTTGCCCATTATTTTGTATAATCGAGAGTTTTTTCCTGACCCATGAAAGACAATAGAATTAATGCATGATAGCGTGTTCCATTCTACTACCTGTTTAATCGGTTGAGTAGAATCACTATATTACAAAAAACATATGATAAAGAATAAAGCAAAATGTACTTTGCAGAACCCCTAAAATCAAACTTTTCTCTGGGCTTGGGTGTGTGTGTGTGTATGTGGAAGAGGGGAAGGGGGGGTTGCTAGCCACACCAAACCCCACACAAAGCATTTTGATCTCATCTTTTGCTGACTACTTTCATCTTTTCTTACTCTGCTCTACTCTTCAATTCTGGTCCTATTTTCAACTATATTCCACAGTTGATTTGATAATGTTCAGTTCATAAGATGTTAAAAGAAATGGGGATTTTAGAGACACAAAGGAAGGCAGGGCACGATTGGAATAGAAATGCATCTGCCACTGGTCATGTAGTAATACTGGGCTCACAGAGTTGAAATACAGGGCGAGGTCATGACTTGAATATTTATTTTTATGTCTGCATTCTTTTACACAGGTTTCTTCGTGGAGTGGCCTACAGAGAGTTTACGCAACTAGTACATGGTTTTCTTGGGGGAAAGCGGATTCCACTGCCAGCAATAAGAACAGAACTTTCAGAAGAGAATGAAGAATTTGTTGGTTTTGAAGATAATGAATAAAGATATTGCCTTTATGACCATCATTATTTTAAAATGCAAATAGCAAAACAGAGTCCATTGACAAATTTTATACTAGTTTGGACTAATATTGACTCAAAACATCAGCTGATTGCACAGAAACTATCTGTATCTTAGTTATCTACAGTCCCAGGGGGGGTACTCGGGAATTCAAGTGATGGGGATGATCGAATGGAGCCAAAAGTCAAGACCCAAAAAAATCCCTAGGGCTTCCAGCAAAACCCCAAAAAATCCCTGGACCAAAAATTAACCCCCAAAAAATCCCATGCCGGCACACGGGACAATGCAGACTATTGTATAACACGTGCAATGTAAAGCGACACCATAGTTAACTATTAAACAACAGCAAAACACGTTTGTTTGAACTTTATTCGCAGAACTACGCAGCCAGGGCACTACCGATTCTTTTTAATACCCCCAAAAAATCCCTACTCAAATCAAGCTACCCAAGCCAAACTTTCGTACCCAAAAAAATCCTGGAATCAAAAATTTCAAACCCAAAAAAATCCTTCGACCATCCCCGTCACTTGAAATCTCGAGTACCCCCCCCCTTGGGTCTACAGTGCGAGGGTGACTTGAAATAATGGTGATGAAAATCTCTCCCAGTTTGTATTAAGCAATTACCAGGCAACTTATTGACTTTGCCTCAAAATAAAAAATAAAAAGGTCTGCTATCACTGTCCACTGTTTTGTCGTGCCTGGTTCCTTGGACAATCAACTAGAAGGTTGTGCCCTCTCATGGGTCTTTTGCAAACAGTGCAATTCCTTGGTCTTCCTCCACTTGATGACTGTGCTGTAGCTGCAGCTGCCTCTTGGGCAAAAACAACAGATACTGCAAGCAAAATAGGAAAAATATATTTAGTCCACCTTGATTGCTGATAAAATGATAATAATATGTAACAATAACAGTAATAATAATAATAATAATAATAATAATAATGGGAACTTTATTTGTTTTTTTGAATGTATAATTGTAAATCTCGCTACGTATAGGCAATTTACAAATGCTGCTTGAGATTGGATTATTAAAAAGAAAAAAACAAAAAACAAAACAAAACAAAAGCCAAAGAAAAAAAAAAAGAAATCAAAATTGCATTAAGTCTGGGCTATCCCAGTTCCTATTTCTATAACAAAAGATGTAATATGTTGCTTTAATGGCTATATTTATCATTTTCTTGATTATAACAGTAATATTGATAACAATAAAAATCCCTAGATGTCCAAAAAAATAAAAGATTTTCCCAAAGAAAAAAAGTGACTTGAGAGGGGCAGAAGGCTCAGCTAGCCTCAGATAGGGCTGTGTTCTAACAGCACATGGTGACCCCTAGCACATAACTTCTGCTCTACGGCGACAAGAAAATCTTAGAGATTATAATATTATGCTAGGCATCCCTGATTTCACAGGTTCAGGGCACTGGGCTCCCTTCAATTTGTCTTAGAACACAGCCATGATTATGGATTTTGCAGCCGATCAAGAGCACAATTGCCACATGGGCACCTTTGAAATTAAAAAGAAGGAACGTAGTATTTAAGTTGAAGAATACGACTTTTATCCTTTCCTTTTATCAGCAAGGTATGATCTTAGTACGATAAGATTTTTCAGGCTAATAATTAAAAGGTGAGAAATAGAGCGAACACTTACCAAGTCTCAGTTCCACAATCCTGTCAAAGCGGTTTTGTAACTCCTGGTTTCTCCTTTAAATTTCTTCTAGTTCTCGGTTGTATTCTGTTTAGCCATTCCTCGTCTGCAATAGGTTCATCTATATACGGTCCTTCTGGATCTGAATAGTACATATCTTCTTCATCTTTGTCTGATCCTAGCTCTGTCTCGCAGATGTGAGTGCGCGACCGATCGATTCCACGTCTGACTGTTCCGTACCGCTTTCAAAACTCATTATTCTTTTTCACAGTCAATTAAATTCGAGCTTAAGCGACTTTTTATTGATTTCTGCTGTTTCTGATCAAAAAAGGTCAGGGAAACTCAAAAAACACTCTCCAAACACTGCCACACAAATAAGAAAATGACCATGTAATTTGCCTGCCGCGAAATAGAATGTCCTGAAATGACGTCATAATCATTCCCAGTCTTCTGTTTTCGCAAGCGCGGTTTTGTAGCTCACCGGAAGTAAAATTTCACGTTTTTGGCAGGTTAAAACACGGGGAAGAAAAATCGCTATCGAAAATTTTTTTTTGCTTTCCTTATCAAAACACTGTATAGATTCTATCAAGCAAATAAAAAAAATTCTGTCATATACACTTTAAGACCTATTTTACACAAACTGGCCATTGTTATCTTAAGACAACAATTTAAAACGTTTGATTCCAATCATTTTACTCTGTCTTGCTTCAATGTTCTCTTTCGAAAATGCATGGCCCTTAAAAAAAAAGCTGTGTGTACTTAGTACGTTTCCATTCAACCATTTCCTTGATCTGAACAGATCACAACTTGCAAATTTTTTAAACTACTTATTCAACTTTAGTACACCTTCAAGCGGATGCAGGTGGTAAGAAGTGCTGTTTCAAGAAGTAAATGTTACCGGTTGTAAGCGAAAATTGTGCGTCTATTGATGATAGAAAAGTCATGATGTATGCTAGTCGCACACAACAGTTGTAAGCAAAAATTGCGCCATCTAAATTGGCTTTAAGAAGGATACCAATGGGACCAGCATAATCACATGTCTGATTTAGATAGGTGCACTACAGAAGTGATCAAAGTAAACGATCGAAAAGAAGCAAAGTCCAAATCTTGGTGTTTGTTTAAGAAAGTCGTGTCATTTGGAAGTGTCTGTTATGAAAAAGTAGTGGGCACTAGTTGACAGTATTGTATTCTAAAGTCACCTATAGATACATGAACATCAACCCAACTGGTTCAAAAGTGTAATTAGTTCTAATTTAGCCAGAGGAATTGTTGGTAAGAGTGTTATGGTATGAGTGTTATAGGGGTATTTGAATTCTTCTGCTCCAATTAATGACAGGCTCACTCTTATCATCACTTATAGGCTAGCCTTAAAAGCAATTCAAGGTGTTGAGTCTGTAACTGTGTATAACTATCTTGACGACTGTATATTGCGAGTAGTACTTCAGGGAAAAAGGCTAGGTACATACAGTATATAGGGTTGTCACTAAGATTTCAAGTTGCCAGGTAAATACGACAAGTACGCAGGGAATCAAACAGCTAGAAGTTCCTTTTGGATCTATTTTTCTTCTATTTTCCTTTGAAAGTAGCTGGAAGTAGACAGGGAAAATCCCCGGCCTCCGCCCCTTAATGACAGCACTGACTATGTACAGTTCTACATGAAAGGAATTTGTGTTTGAGCTCTTCATGCCTGAAAATGGGTTTATAGTTTTAATAACTGCTTGTGTCTGAGTAAGGCTTAGGTTTTGTCATCTAGGAGCTGGGGTCTGAAAGTGAGTTTTGTTTCTACATCATTGGTCACTACAAAACAGTGTTTCAGTGTTTTAGTGTAAGAAAGGTACACATATTTTGGTATGGAGGTAAAGTTTTCAGAAAATGTACTGCACATGACTAACAAAATTGTCCAACTTCCAAGGCATGTGACTATAGACCATAATATATGGAATATTTCTCATACTAACCTGATATACCAGACTTGGTTGTAGCTTGAGATGTGTAGTCATTCCCCATTACTGTTAAGAAAACAAAATTTAAAAAGATTAAACAAATTTTCCTCTGTTTGCTGATAGCATCAAAATAATGTTGCACCCCATAGCCTGCGAATGGTTACTGGTCATTTCACAACAAAGTCATTTCAATACAAGTCACATCAGTTTTGACAACATCCCAAAAGTTTGGGTTCTAGCCATGTTCTTCACGATAAAAAACTGTAAGTTTGTATTAGTTAAACTTTGAGGCTTGGAGGCTTTTTAAGAGATGTTGGTTCATTACCCTTGAACCTTGTTATGTCTGAGACTACAGGATTTCGCCAGTTGTGTAACTGAGAGCTTCATTATATGGTACCATGAAACAGAGTTAAGAAGTCTACTTTCTCTATGATGTCTGTCTGTCTGCAGAAACTGGCCTGGTGTGCAGGAACATTAACTTGGCTTCATCGTGGGGGAGCTTCACGAGTACATACAAGAACTTACTTACTGCGAGGATTTCCCTGAACACTCTTAACACTATTAAAAACTAGGGATTATTTTCAGATGGCAAAGATAATACACTGATAGTATGTACTCACCCGTTGATCCCCAGCTTGCTCTCCATGCACAACCGCCTTCTTATTTTGACACTTCGTACGCCCATTTTCATGCCTGTTATTTTAAAAAATAGAAGGACACTAAGATAACTAGCTTTTCAACAAACTTGGTGTATTTGTTTCTGGGCTAGCTTGTTTAAAGCCCCCAATTTTTCTGTAAGATCATCGAGGGCAAATGCTTACTGCACTAGCAGCTAAATACAGGAATTGCACCGACCTGTGATTGGAAGATAAAAATAGTATGTCAGTGGCGATGACGTGACAATTCGTTACGTTAGCCGTTTCAAGAGTAATGGTTTTTACACGAAAAAGACAGTCCACAGGAAAATACAATAAAATATTAAATATTTCTCAAAGACAAACGGTGCAGTATTCTTTTGAAGTCGGCTGACTAGGGGCCATTCCATTTAATATCCACACCCCCCCTGTGGATGATGTTCCTTTTTCTGCAGTCCCTCAGAAATAATGTTGCCCTAACCCCCTCAGAAATACCAATGGATGAGTTTAAAAACATTGCAGCCCCCTTAGAAATACCTATGATTTCTTCTGAAACCCTTCAGAAAAGTACTATGGATGAGTTCGTATTTTAGGGAACCCTCTGGAAATTACTATGGATGAGTACGTATTTCAGGGATCCCCTCAGAAAATGACGTCTTTTAGGGGACCCCTCAGAAAGTCTCATCCATAGGGGGGGTGTGGATATTAAATGGAATGGCCCTAGCTCGCGAAGAGTCAATGTCCTATCGAAGTTGAAGTTCAACT